GTCCCCAAATGTCCCCAAATGTCCCCAAATGTCCCCAGAGTTGTGTTTGGGGTCTCTCGCGGGTCCGTGAGGAACACGAGGCCGTGGTGGGGGACGGGGACGGGTCCTCCATGTCCCCAGATGTCCCCAGATGTCCCCTCAGGGGTCGATGAGGAGGGCGAGGCCGGGGTGGGGACAGGTCCCCGATGTCCCCAATGTCCCCTCTGGGGTCCCTCAGGGGTCGATGAGGATCATGAGGCTGAAGCAGGGCTGGGTCCCCGATGTCCCTCGATGTCCCCAATGTCCCTCGATGTCCCTCGATGTCCCTCAATGTCCCTCGATGTCCCTCGATGTCCCCCGATGTCCCCTCAGGGGTCGATGAGGAGGACGAGGCCGAAGCAGGGCTGGGTTCCCAGTGTCCCCCGATGTCCCCAGTGTCCCCTCTGGGGTCTCTCAGGAGTCGATGAGGAGGACGAGGCCATGGTGGGGACAGGTCTCTGATGTCCCCAATGTCCCCCAATGTCCCCCGATGTCCCCGGTGTCCCCTCAGGGGTCGATGAGGAGGGCGAGGCCGAAGCGCGCCCCCCCCGCAGGTGGCACTCCCCTGGCCAGGTGCGTCAGGCGCCCGGGGTGCAGCAGGGCCCAGCCCGGGGGGGGCGCGGGGGCCCCGCAGCCGTAACGGGGAAACAGCCAGCCCCCGCCCTGGAAACCAGTACGGACCAGTACAGACCAGTACGGACCAGTACGGACCGGTACGGACCAGTATAGACCAGCTCACACCAGTGCGGACCCGTTCGGACCAGTACGGAGCAGTTCAGACCAGTGGGCGCCAGTCAGGCATCTCAGCAACCCCCAGTTCATCCCAGTAACCCCCAGTTCATCCCAGTAACTCCCAGTCCATCCCAGTTCCATCCCAGTCCCTCCCAGTCCATCCCAGTCCCTCCCAGTCCCTCCCAGTCCATCCCAGTCCCTCCCAGTCCCTCCCAGTCCATCCCAGTCCCTCCCAGTCCCTCCCAGTCCATCCCAGTCCCTCCCAGTCCCTCCCAGTCCATCCCAGTCCCTCCCAGTCCCTCCCAGTCCATCCCAGTCCCTCCCAGTCCCTCCCAGTCCATCCCAGTCCCTCCCAGTCCCTCCCAGTCCATCCCAGTCCCTCCCAGTCCATCCCAGTAACCCCCAATCCCCTCCCAGTCCGTCCCAGTTCCCCCAGTCCGGTACCTGGGGGGGGCTCAGGGTGACGCTCAGGCTGATGGGGGCCGAGGGCCGGGGTGGGGCCGAGGGGGCGGGGTCAGAGGGGGCGTGGCCGGAAGGGGCGGGGTCGTAGCGAACCACGGAGCTCAGCACGGTCCGGCCCTGGGGTGGGGGAGGGGCGAGTGGGCGTGGCCGAGGACACGCCCACAGAGCCACACCCACAAAGACCACGGCCGGCTGCTCATTGGTCCGTATTGCCTTAGGCCACGCCCCTTCCCTGGCAAGCCACCCCCATCCGAATCCACGCCCCTTCAGCCACACCCAAACCCACTACAGATGCCCCTCCCCCACCCTTCCACAAACCCCACCCCCTCCC